TGGGTGGGGGGGGGGGGGGGGGATAGTGCTGGTATTAAAGTGGTTAAAGAACTTTAAGACTTTATTTGGTTGTGTTATTGCACGTGCATAATCTGTAAAACACTGCTTATAACAATTGTCAGGTGACTTGTGACCCCCAAATTAAGCTTCAGACATGGGGAATATAAATAAGAGGCAAAAATACACCTGAAAACTTGTAATACGAATATTCAGCGTCTTACATAAGTCTCCTCTCTATGATTTTCTCGTCATAAACATCCCCCCTACTCAGCCTTTAACAGGCAAGAGCCAGTTCAGAACAGTGTTCTGTTGAATTTGCCGACCTCACCATCTGCGCATTGCACACAGATGGCATTAACGAGGAAACGGATTCATTTAGAAATTATTAATTCCTAATTGTGACCGTTGATAATATGCCAACCATGGCAGTAAATGATGGATGGATGCACATTCACAATTAACATTGTAAGCAGTTACATTATCATGTAATTGCTTACTATATTAATTGTGAATGTGCATAAATTGCCATCAATCGTTTATTGTCATGGATGCGATATTATCAACGGTCACAATTGGCAATGAATCCTTTCTAAATAAATCCGTTTCCTCGTTAAGCCCGGTGTGTGCGCAAGCGCATATGGTGGGGTCGGCAAATTTGAATTTCGACTCGGTCCGCCGTCTCGACAGAACAGGTGTTACACCAATCCACACTATGGTGACTGTTGCCTAGCAACACTTTCTCGTCCTAGGGAGGAAGTGACGTCATGGAGAAACTGGAAGAAGCCGGAAAGGCCCGGATGTTAGTGCTGCCTGTGTGTCGCGATACCGCGTGACTGAAATATCGTGACAGGAGAGGAGTTGAAGCGGCCTGGAGTTGGTTTGAGGAGGAAGAGAGGTATGTGATAGCCAGTCAAGATAAGGGTTGAAGCCGGGGGACACAAAGGCCGGACAGGTAACATGGTGGAGATGTTAGACGAATATTTGGATGTTGCTGTTGGGTCTCTTCAGACCATTGTCATGATGATACATGTATATATATGGGGAAGGTGCTGTCTGTTCGGTTCTCCCTGGACAACCGTGTACTTATTTATGGCTAGACAAGTTATGTGTCAGGGAAAAGTGGTGCCCAGCATCAACACAGAGCTGCAATGAAATCCAGGCAGCACTGTCACACTGCTCTATGACATGCGTTATAAGACAAACTAGGAAAGATATTTCGAATTAGAAATAAAGCAAGGGTCCTTATTTCACTTTGTAGAATATGACAGCTGATTGGTGGCTATGGACCATATAACAAGACTGTATAAAGTGGTAGTAAGCCCTAATGTAATAAAAACATATAGTGCCGCAGACCTCAGCACTTGCCATGTATGCACGCCTGTTTTTCTTTTCATTCTGTGGGTGCTTTCATTTCCTGTTCAGAAAATCGTCTCCTGGTTGCTGTATTCGGGTGACTCAGTCCCCTTACAGGGTCCCATGGAGTCACGCTCCCAGCTGGCACCATGGCCGAGTCTCCTTATGTTCCTAAAATAAATTGTAGAAATGTCACCAGCACACCAATCCTTTTAAGATAGCAAAAGCTTCATTTATTGAAGTTTTTTGTCATATGACCAAACTACAAGGGACATATCGGTAAGGAGTGCGACAAGGATAGTACTTATCCTTATGTTCCTAGACACAGCCTGGGTGGCAAGCCATGCCCCTTTATCCTCCCGCTGCCTGTGCCTGCACTGTCCCTAGTACACTGCACAGTAACGTACTCGGGGCATGCGCTTCCCGACTCAGAGCTTCAGGGAATCAGTGCTCTGAAACTTGGAGCCAGCAGCGGTTTAGAGAACAGAATGTAAGTGTTTTTGATTATATATATATATATATAATCAAAAACATGTACTGGGGGATGTTTATCTGCATGCTTGGAATGCATTCAGTTAAAAAAAACATTCTGGGGGGAATTTATCAAAACTGGAGCAGACTAAATCTGGAGCAGATTTGCACTGCGAGCAATCAGCTTCTATCTCTCATTTTCAAACCCCAACTGAGCAAACTAAAGAGAGATGCTGATTGGTTGCCATGGACACCTGCTCCAGCTTTGATAAATTCCCCCCTCAGTGTTTAATACTACTTTTGATATGTGTGGTTATGACCTGTGCATACTGTTTGCAGTGCGGCTCGAGGGTGTCATCAGTCACTGAGTGTGCTCATTTCACTGCCCCTTGCAAGCAATCTGGCGGCACCTCGGTCATCAGAACAGCTTCCAGCGTAAAGCCAACAGTCAGCTTTACACATGTGTTCAGAGTCCCGGCGAGTCTGTTTAAAGGGGTCCACTGCCAGCGGCTTATGACACGTCGAAAGCAGTGATCTCTGTCTCTTGTACCATGTCCTCAGTCTCTGTCTTCTACAGCATAATTCCAGTCTTCCAAGTATTCCTGTAGCACTCTGCTGACCATTTCCTCTAGTAGAGCTGGCTATACACTGGGCTACTTTGGCCAATTCTTATTGAACTGGTGTTCACTTGGTGGGTGGCCCTGTCTGCCAGCTCCTGCCCCACATTCTTTGAAAAACTGAAGGAACCGGGTGGACGAATTGTTGGAAGAACGATGCCTGCATCCAGTCGGATGCAGGCAGTGTTCAGGTTTTTTAATTGCCACCTGGGCTAACAGTTAAAATACATTGGGGGGCATTTATGTATGCATCTGTGTCTAGTTAGTTGCTGGTATTAAAGTGGTTAAAGAACTTTAAGACTTTATTTGGTTGTGTTATTGCACGTGCATAATCTGTAAAACACTGCTTATAACAATTGTCAGGTGACTTGTGACCCCCAAATTAAGCTTCAGACATGGGGAATATAAATAAGAGGCAAAAATACACCTGAAAACTTGTAATACGAATATTCAGCGTCTTACATAAGTCTCCTCTCTATGATTTTCTCGTCATAAACATCCCCCCTACTCAGCCTTTAACAGGCAAGAGCCAGTTCAGAACAGTGTTCTGTTGAATTTGCCGACCTCACCATCTGCGCATTGCACACAGATGGCATTAACGAGGAAACGGATTCATTTAGAAATTATTAATTCCTAATTGTGACCGTTGATAATATGCCAACCATGGCAGTAAATGATGGATGGATGCACATTCACAATTAACATTGTAAGCAGTTACATTATCATGTAATTGCTTACTATATTAATTGTGAATGTGCATAAATTGCCATCAATCGTTTATTGTCATGGATGCGATATTATCAACGGTCACAATTGGCAATGAATCCTTTCTAAATAAATCCGTTTCCTCGTTAAGCCCGGTGTGTGCGCAAGCGCATATGGTGGGGTCGGCAAATTTGAATTTCGACTCGGTCCGCCGTCTCGACAGAACAGGTGTTACACCAATCCACACTATGGTGACTGTTGCCTAGCAACACTTTCTCGTCCTAGGGAGGAAGTGACGTCATGGAGAAACTGGAAGAAGCCGGAAAGGCCCGGATGTTAGTGCTGCCTGTGTGTCGCGATACCGCGTGACTGAAATATCGTGACAGGAGAGGAGTTGAAGCGGCCTGGAGTTGGTTTGAGGAGGAAGAGAGGTATGTGATAGCCAGTCAAGATAAGGGTTGAAGCCGGGGGACACAAAGGCCGGACAGGTAACATGGTGGAGATGTTAGACGAATATTTGGATGTTGCTGTTGGGTCTCTTCAGACCATTGTCATGATGATACATGTATATATATGGGGAAGGTGCTGTCTGTTCGGTTCTCCCTGGACAACCGTGTACTTATTTATGGCTAGACAAGTTATGTGTCAGGGAAAAGTGGTGCCCAGCATCAACACAGAGCTGCAATGAAATCCAGGCAGCACTGTCACACTGCTCTATGACATGCGTTATAAGACAAACTAGGAAAGATATTTCGAATTAGAAATAAAGCAAGGGTCCTTATTTCACTTTGTAGAATATGACAGCTGATTGGTGGCTATGGACCATATAACAAGACTGTATAAAGTGGTAGTAAGCCCTAATGTAATAAAAACATATAGTGCCGCAGACCTCAGCACTTGCCATGTATGCACGCCTGTTTTTCTTTTCATTCTGTGGGTGCTTTCATTTCCTGTTCAGAAAATCGTCTCCTGGTTGCTGTATTCGGGTGACTCAGTCCCCTTACAGGGTCCCATGGAGTCACGCTCCCAGCTGGCACCATGGCCGAGTCTCCTTATGTTCCTAAAATAAATTGTAGAAATGTCACCAGCACACCAATCCTTTTAAGATAGCAAAAGCTTCATTTATTGAAGTTTTTTGTCATATGACCAAACTACAAGGGACATATCGGTAAGGAGTGCGACAAGGATAGTACTTATCCTTATGTTCCTAGACACAGCCTGGGTGGCAAGCCATGCCCCTTTATCCTCCCGCTGCCTGTGCCTGCACTGTCCCTAGTACACTGCACAGTAACGTACTCGGGGCATGCGCTTCCCGACTCAGAGCTTCAGGGAATCAGTGCTCTGAAACTTGGAGCCAGCAGCGGTTTAGAGAACAGAATGTAAGTGTTTTTGATTATATATATATATATAATCAAAAACATGTACTGGGGGATGTTTATCTGCATGCTTGGAATGCATTCAGTTAAAAAAAACATTCTGGGGGGAATTTATCAAAACTGGAGCAGACTAAATCTGGAGCAGATTTGCACTGCGAGCAATCAGCTTCTATCTCTCATTTTCAAACCCCAACTGAGCAAACTAAAGAGAGATGCTGATTGGTTGCCATGGACACCTGCTCCAGCTTTGATAAATTCCCCCCTCAGTGTTTAATACTACTTTTGATATGTGTGGTTATGACCTGTGCATACTGTTTGCAGTGCGGCTCGAGGGTGTCATCAGTCACTGAGTGTGCTCATTTCACTGCCCCTTGCAAGCAATCTGGCGGCACCTCGGTCATCAGAACAGCTTCCAGCGTAAAGCCAACAGTCAGCTTTACACATGTGTTCAGAGTCCCGGCGAGTCTGTTTAAAGGGGTCCACTGCCAGCGGCTTATGACACGTCGAAAGCAGTGATCTCTGTCTCTTGTACCATGTCCTCAGTCTCTGTCTTCTACAGCATAATTCCAGTCTTCCAAGTATTCCTGTAGCACTCTGCTGACCATTTCCTCTAGTAGAGCTGGCTATACACTGGGCTACTTTGGCCAATTCTTATTGAACTGGTGTTCACTTGGTGGGTGGCCCTGTCTGCCAGCTCCTGCCCCACATTCTTTGAAAAACTGAAGGAACCGGGTGGACGAATTGTTGGAAGAACGATGCCTGCATCCAGTCGGATGCAGGCAGTGTTCAGGTTTTTTAATTGCCACCTGGGCTAACAGTTAAAATACATTGGGGGGCATTTATGTATGCATCTGTGTCTAGTTAGAAGATGTTGCATCCCCAATGTACGTGCGTTTCTGCCGCATAGGAAGATTCTTTTTGCGGTGCTGTTTTTTTTTTTTTCCTAGCAATACGGCTCTTTGCAACAGGAGTACGAATACAGCATTATTTTAGCATGATTATTGCAAGATGAAAATCTCTCTGTGACTGAAATCTCTGCCATTCAGTCACAAATGTTAGAAGTGCTCTTGATCACTTCTAAAATGAGCGCAAAGAAAATAAAAAGCCGCTTAAGTTTAAACATTTAAAGCACCGGTATCGGCATATATTATCTAGGCATTTTCATGAGTACTTGTGAAAAGGCCCAGTGTCAGCATCCATGCATCCCAAAAGAAAATTTTTCAATCAGTCTCTTTATGGCAAAGTTACTTTGGGCAAGTTTATTTCCTTAACCACTTGCTGATAGAGATAGAGCTTTCTTTTGGTGGCATTTAATACCCACTGGGGTTTTTTATTTTTTACTATATAATGAAAAAAGTACCGAAAATTTTGGGGAAAAAAAACTGTTTTCCCTACTTTATGTTATAAAACAATTATTACCAAAATTTTTGGCAAAATATAAAAGATGGGGTCACGTCGGGTAAATAGACACCAAGCACGTCAAGCTTTAAGAGTGCGTGCGCTCGCAAAAACTACCATACCCAAAATTGGCAATAGGCGACGCTTCAAAAGCTTTTACCGCTCATCAGTTTAGTTTTATCAGTGATTGATGGGCCGAGAATTATTGCTCTCACTGCGATGTTCACGGCGATATGTAACGTGCGGCGTAATGGATGCAATCGTCGTTTTCAGCATGTAGGCGCACTCAACACATGTTTGCATGTGTATGTGGGGGGCGGGGGACTTAAAAAAAAATTTTTACATTTTTTTTTATTACCTTTTTATATGTGACCTTTTAATTAAAAATGTTTTACTTCTTCTTTAAATCTTCTTTTTTTTTTTTTACTTCTCTATTGCTATCACAAAGGGGACTAACAAGCCCCCTTTGTGATTGCCAATTTTCAGTGACGGGTCCTCTTTGCGGAGACATCAGGGGTCTTTAAAACTATTACTTATGTGAGTAATACATTTATTATGGATTTATAGGGCTGGCAAGATGGCAAGGGGGCAGCAGAAGATACAAGCCCAACAAAAGAATGCCAAGAAGCAAGCTGAGAAGAAGAAACACGGAACTGATCAGAAAGCTGCTGCAAAGGCAGCTTTAGTCTTCACATGTCCTGTGTGCAGGGTAATATATTTGAATTATATAATATCTGAATTGTGTTCTTACAACATTGATATTTTGTAAAACTAGAGATATATGCTTCCATTGCTGGTACTCTGGAAGTGATTAAGCTTGCAAGAGAGGCAGTTGATGCTTTTTTGTTTCTTCATGCAGTTATTTATAAAAGATATACCATTGCATGTATCGCATTTCAGTGACTGTGCATTTTGGGACAGGGAGTCCCATGGAGTAACACTGCCACACTGAGATGCTTTGCATGTGTAAGAGGTCTCTTCTGCATTAAGACAATTGATGGCTGTCATATTTGCATTAAAGGAGAACTATGAGGTGAGTGCTTTTCACTCACCTCATAGTTCTAGCCGACCGGTGACAATGAGACTGTCACAGGTCGGCTCAGTAGATCGGGAGGTGAGCGAACACATACCGGCGTTCGCTCACCTCTCGATCCTGTCACGGCTCTCTGAGAGCCGTGACAAAGGAGGGGCTGGATTCCCCGCTCCGATCCGCCAGTGCTGACTGGTGGAACGGACGGGTGAGGGGGCGGGTACAGCTGGCTCTGCCTCTAGATAGGCAGAGCCAGCTGTCAGTCACGCAGCTGGGCGGATCCAGACATAATTGTCGGGATCCGCTTCCGCGTCTCAGTATACGGCGAGCTACAGCTCGCGGTATAATGAGCCTAGGGTGACGGGAGGACGCTATTTTGTGTCCTCCCGTTACCCTAAGGAGAACTATGGGGAAAAGACTTAACCCCATAGTTCTCCTTTTTAAAGGAGAGCTATTGGGACGAGTAAAATGTACTCTTCCCAATAGTTTGAGCCGGTGTGTGACACTGCAGATGTCGACTCTATAGCTCGAGAACTGAGCAATCACAAACTGCTGATTGCCTAGCTTATGGCTTCTCCCTGCAGAGAGCAGTGACTGTCATTCACCGCTCCCCACAGGGATTCCTCCCCTCTCTCTGTTCTCCAGCGCTCATTGGAGGGCCAGACAGGGAAGGGGATGGGCAGAGCAGGCTATACCCCTAGAGAGGCGGAGCCAGATGTCAATCAGGTAGGGGGGTGGATCCCGACAATGTTGTTGGGATCTTTCCTGGCTGCAGTATGTCTCTGCACTGTCAGCATATAGCAGGATATATGCCAGCTAGATGGTGACTTTGGGTCACAGGTGTACATTAGTAAATGTCCTCCGGTAACCCAAAAGAGAACTTAAGCCAAAAAAAAGTTTGGCTATAGTTCTCTTTCAATGCATGTGACGAACATCTTTCTTATGTCAATATTCGGCCATCTGAATAAAGCCTTACAGGGAGGGCAGTTGTTAGAATTTAATTTTATCTGTGTAACATTACTCAACCGGTTCACAGTTGTAAGCAATATTGCATGAAAAGCTGTCTAATCTCCCGGACAGCTATGCGCAGATTTGTGACAGTGGAGCCTCTGTAGAAAGCTTGTTTGTAAGTGAGCTGTACCTCACCTGCTTATTTAGAAGGCAAAAAAGGGCTTTCCACCTGCAGCAGGAAGTTAATAGGATGTAAAGCGGAATACAGAGTGACTTCAAATTGTTGTGCTAGTGCTGTGCATTTAAAAAGAATCTGCTTTCAAATTTAGACACAGATGCCAGACCCTAAAACGTTCAAGCAGCACTTTGAAAGCAAACATCCTAAGTCTCCGATGCCTCCAGAACTAGTTGATGTGCAGGCATAACAGTTTTCAGGTCAGTAATATACCTTTTCTGTTGTCACTAAATTTGATTGAGCTTAGTAGGTCAATGTTGTCATTTCTACTTTTTATCTAGTTGGTTTCCTTTTAAATGTGTTGTGTATAGCAGGTTGCACAAAATTACGTTTTGCCCACAATTGTTGGGTAAGGGGTTATCCAGGTAAATCATGCCAATTACGTTGGGTAGATGTGTGCAGCTTATTTTTATCAAGTAGAGTTGTACACTTTCCAACTGTTGGTAGACTACAATAGTCTCTAACAAAATCTGACTGCATATGGGCAGCTAATGATAAATACATCACAGCTGAGTCTTGGAGGCCTCCCAGTCATGAGTGTAAGTTACTTGTTTAGATCCCCAGTTTAAATAAATAGTTGGTGTATGTCCTGCATATTTATTTTCTTTTGGTTTTAGTAGGGAAGAGTTAGAACTAGGGATATACTAATACCAGTATCGGTGCCGTGGGCATTTTCACGAGTACTCATGAAAATGCTCTGATACTAAGCGCAGATACTGGCACTTGAAATGTTTAAACACAGATGGCTGCCATAAGGTCCTGTGCTTGCTGGGGACCTCACAGCAACCTTGAGTCCCTTTGCTGTGCTGTAAGCAGCGGCGCAAAGTCCTCACAAGGCTGCTAAGAGGTCAGGCTGCATATCACTTCCTCCTCCCACTTCCTCCTCCCACATCCAGCCCCACTGAGACCCTGAACAGCCCTGGTGACCAACCCAGAGTATGTAGCTTCATAATATTCTGCATTGCTGTATAATGTATTGCTGGGATTTGTAGTCCTCTATAGCTGGTGGTATTCTGCATTGCTGTATAATGTATTGCTGGGATATGTAGTCCTCTATAGCTGGTGGTAGAGCTGCAACAGTTAATCGATTTAGTCGATTAAAATCGACGATTGAAAACGTTGGCAACGTTTTCGATCGTCGATTCGTCGGCTATCGATTGATTTGCCTGTTCGGGGCTCCACATGCGGCCTGAGCGGCACGTCACACACTGCTCCCGTTGCGGCTGCCGTGCCCACGGCACAGGCCGCGTAAGCCACGCCCACCGCACGCTGTATTGCGCTGTATAATGTATTATTGCTGGGATTTGTAGTTCCTCTATAACTGGTCAGTGGTAATCTGCATTGCGCAGTATAATCATTATACAGCGCAATGGAGAATACCACCAGCTATAGAGGACTACAAATCCCAGCAATAATACAATATATACAGCGCAATGGAGAATAACGCCAGCTACAGAGGACTACAAATCCCAGCAATAGTACATTATCGTATAATGTACTATTGCTACATTCCTCTATAGCTGCTAGTATTCTGCACTGCGCCGCTGTATAATGTACTATATTGCACACCACACTTTTTTTTTACTTCCACCGCGCCAAGCTTGCTCCGGTGATGGACTACAATCTCAATACAAACTAGTAGTCCCATCACTGGAGCCTTTTATCCGATTAACCGATTAATCGAACTTAATCGGCCAACTAATCGATTATGAAAATAATCGTTAGCTGCAGCCCTAGCTGGTGGTATTCTGCATTGCTGTATAATGTATTGCTGAGATTTGGAGTCGGTGGCAGAATTACCAAGGGCGCAGCGGTTGCAGCTGTGACTGCTTTGGCGCTCCACCACTGTCCTAAAATCATTAGTCTGTATTGTTTTTTGTTTTTTTAAACTGTCACATGACCCAAAAAAAAAGGTATTTGGTATCGGCGAGTACTTGAGGAAGTTTCGGTACTCGGTCTGGGAAAAATTGTATTGCTGCATCCCTAGTTATTGTAATTCTCTTGCTATTTGGGGCTTAGTTGGAGAGATTTTCCTTTGCTCACTGACCCGTTGACAGTCTTTTAACAGACATGAAGTTGGGGAAAATCTCGAACAGCAGCACATACAGAAATTGACAAACACTTGAGCTAAAATGTATGTATAAACACAGAAGTGTGTGCAAAGTTTTTGTTTAATGACCAAACTATAGTACTGTGTGATGGTATTATTTTTCTTGTGTCTTCCAGATGTGTCCTCCTCTTACTGATGAATGCACTGATTGAAGTGGTTTGGGCATCTATAAAAGACACTTCTTCAAATCTGAGCACACCTTACCCAATTTAAGTCAGAGAAAAATGATTTACATTTCTGGACTCTGATCCTCCAGCAGCTAATAACTATTCACGTATTTTATTTTCCTTTTTCCCAGTCTTTTTGGAACTGGAGAAGTCGTAGCGTGCGTTTTGGCTACGCTCTCATTGGTGAGCTCAAGTATGAGTGAAGATCACGTGACCACATATTGCATCCTTTTAAACATACAAAAACATTTATCTTGGGAACATATTTTCTTTTCTTGATGCTTTGTCCAAAAGCACCATAGTTACTTACTGCCAGTGTATTTTTTTTAATGTTTTCAATAGCAAAAAGATATTCTGTTTAAAATAATCCACTTTATCAATATTTGTTTTACTGCATTCCGCCAGAGAACACTATGTCTATCATGTGGTATTTTTTTATATATTTGTCTCAAAATGTTTACTAAGCATCCTGCAGTCCATCCTGAATAGGGGCTGTTTCTACCAGTGCCATAGTCTTGCACATAGGCTTTTCCTCACCAGCCCAAAATAAGATGAAAACCACTGTATTCAAAATAAAACTTTTTTGTTTTCGTTTTTTTTACTCGAGGATGAGCCTCCTTCCTTTTTTAGATACAGTCGGTATCGGTATTGTTTTATTTTTTTTACCCCACTTCATGGATCCTGTCGCTGTAAAAATATTTAAGCCAAGTGTTGGTTCATGACATATTTATAGAGGAAAGTCGTTCTGATTCCTCAGCTGTTGCCGTTTTAAATTCAAGACTACCAGTGAGAACTATTTTACAACCCTAACTGGTCACCTAATCCTATAAGTCGTATGGAACTTCAGGCTGCAACTCTTTTATGGAAACAAAAATACTATGGCCCTATTCACACTTTCATTATTAGGAATTCGTTACTGTGCAAAAACCAAGGTACAGGGCCTTACTCTTTCTGTGGTAACTATTGCTCTAATCTAATCAAGCACGTGAAAGGATTGCAGAAACGTAGGAGCTGTGCATGGCCACTCCTCCTCCTTTAGTATTTCATAACTGTAAGTGGTGGGTCTGGGCACAGGAACAGCAGGCATCCAACTGATCTTAAAGTGACACTAAACTCCGGTGTTAAATCTTAAAAATGCATTCAAGTACCCCAACTATTAACAAAAATGTATCTTTGTGTATCACTCAACTGTAGACCTTCAAATCATCTCTGAATTGGTGCTGACACTGTCCTTCCTTCTGGAGGGGGGCTACTTCTGTTCCCCATGATCCCTGTGTGTGTTGTAAAGTAGCCACCCCTCCAAGCTCACTCCTGTGATGGACTACAATCTCATGTTTAGTTTATTAATTTGTATCAAGATTGTAGTCCATCATGGGATTGAGCTTGGAGCGTTGGCTACGTAACAACATACACAGGGACCATGGGGAACAAAAGTAGCCACCCTCCAGAAGGAAGGACAGTGTCGGCACCAATTCAGATATGATTTGAGGATCTACAGCTGAGTGATACACAAATAGGATACATTTAATTAATTAGGTTACTTGAATGTATTTTAAGATTTAACTCCTGAGTTTAGTGTCACTTTAAAGGAATTCTGTCTTAAGAGAAACACAAACGCTGCCACCGCTAACTTCTATAAATATGAGTTGTTTGGCTGTCATACAGAACTCCTTGCTTATGTGGAACGAGTATGCGGGTAAGAACTTCTGACTTTGTTGATATGCAGTCTTATTGATGGCCAGTGACTCAAAGTACTGAAGCCCGAGACTTTGCAGCTAAGCACTAAGCATTTTCAGGAGGTCTGCAATGGCAGATCGTTTTTCTCTTCTGACAGGTTTACTTTAAACCAGTGGTTCTCAACTCGTGGGTCGCGACCCAAAAGTGGGTCGCGACACCCTCTGCAGTGGGTCGCGGCGTCATGTCTGAATAGACCGGCCTGAGACTGAATAGAGAGGGGGAATTTGTGGTTCAGCCTGTGGAACCTCATGTCAAACTGTCCCCTCTCTCCCGGCCTCCCCCGGGCTCTCAGATAAAGTGGTATGGCCCGGGGAGAGAGGGGACTATTTCCTCACTTTCGGGCCGGCGCAATAATATCAGGAGCCGCGGCTCCCAACAATTAAGTTATAGTTCCGGCCTGCACTGGAGAGTACAGCAGATATCAATCCGCCGCTGTATCTACTGTACTCTCCAGTCCAGATAGTTCAGTCGGCTGGAATCAGAGAAAGGTAGGCAGGCAGATAGGGAGATGTGCACTGTGGCAGGACAGGGGACACTGATGGATATTATGCATTCCAAGCCCACATAATAT